TTACGTTGTGATATAATTTAAACAACATACCATTTATCCATACTTTATCAAATGCCTTTGAGACATCAACATAGCAGGCAAATACTTTATCGTTTTCCTCGCAACAATGCTTAGTTGACTCGTCAATAACAAATGAAGTCGTCAAGGCGTCACGCTCAGCTTGGTAGGCCCCTTGAAGCGGGTGGGGTCGACATCTTATTTTATTTTGAAGCCTGTTGAGTACTAAACGTTCGAAAATTTTGTTAAAAGTACAAAGAAGAGTAATTCCTCTGTGATCGTCGAATTTTGATGCACAGCTCTTCCCTCCCTTTGGAATTGGAATTTTGATTCCTAACTTAAATTGTCTTGGGATGTACTCCAATTCAATGATCTTATTATAAAGTATTAACAGCTTGGCAGCCAGAATGTCCCCAGAGTACTTAATATGTTCATACGTTATGCCATCATCACCGGGAGCTTTATTATTTGGTAATTCTGTTAGCACATCCTCGATCTCTTTTAAAGTTATGGGATCCTGAAAGATATCATCAAATTCAGCTAAGGAGTTTTTTGTTATGTCACTAACCTCGATATCGATATACTCCCTGAAGTCATCATCAAAATTTGTATTTTCCTCAGGAGTTAAACGTTCATAAACCACACATCTGCTATTTCTTCTGGGTTTGAGATAGTTCTTCCATCATTCGTTGTGAGCACATTAGTTGATCTTTTCTTCTTTCTACGTCGGTTTACATATTTCCAAAACCTGATGTGATCGATCTCGGAAGCCTCACTAAGCTCTTTGAAATCATTCTCCTCTGTTTTTCGTACCATTTTACGTTGTTCCTTCCTGAACAGACGCTTTGCATCTTTGTATAACCGAAAACTTTCATACTGTTCTCCTCTTGGACGTCCTTCTGAGGTCCATTTCTTATGAAGCTCCATGCAAGCTGTCTTTAATCGCTTGAGTTCATTATTCCAGTAGGGCTTGATGGACTTCTTATACTTCGCACGAGGTAGACATTTGTCGCTGCTTTTTATGCTGCGACAGATCAAACAATAATAGTTCTCAACGTCATCACTGGTGTATAAGGTATCATCCATTGTTATGATTGTATCATTTAATCTCCTTTGATATTCTAGTACTTGTTCCGAAGCACATTTTCTCCACGCAATTCGTTCATACTCGTTTTCTAAATTATTAGATGATTCATGGCAGTTTATACCAGCAGAAATTTCAATGCCAGCAATCAACGGCAGATGATAAGATAAATTGCACGGATGTTCGTCGCCAACTTTAACACACTTTACAATTCTTTCGATGTTCTTACTCGCAAAAATGTAATCAACAACACTGTTACCACAACTTGAGTAATACGTGAATAGCGGACCCATACAGGGCATATCCACGTTAACTGGAAACATGTCAAATTCAGCAAACATTTCAAGGAGTAGTTTTCCTCTATTATTTTCACGTTGACCTGAACGTGGATCCGATACATGTACGTTAAAATCGCCTGCAATAATGATTTGCTCTTCTCTGTAACTTAATTGAGTGCACACTGCATTAAGGCAAGTTAGAGTGTCGATAAAATCAGCCAAGTTACTGTTCGTTGATGGAAAATAGATACTACAGAAAACATAATTCTGATTATTCATTCGAAATTTAATTGCTACGATCCTATCATTTCCGAGTAATAATCGTTGTGCCTTGAGATGTTTTTTCCAAACAATCGCGACGCCCCCCTGACCTCGCTTCCATCTTGTGTTCATATTATTTTGTTCGCTTGTCTTTGCATAATACAAAAAATCGTTATGTAAATTGTCTAATATAGTAAGCTCATCGGCGTATAACCAATGTTCTGAGATGGCTAAAACATCAACACTTTCAAGTAGCTTTTGCATGTAAACGAAGTTCGATTTGATGCCTCCGCAGTTCCAACATGCAATGTTTATGAAGGCGGTTCTCTGGATGGATCTCTGTCAGATTTCACTGACCGTTTTCCCATTTATCTTTGGAGAGCCATTCCCTTGCGTATACATTTTTCGGCCAAAAATTTGCATGGTTCAAGAATCTCCTTAATATCTGAAACTCTGACATTTATACGCACAGCAACGGTGCCGCTTCGCCGACTTTTCATCATTCGTACGAAAGTCGGCTGAACGCCTTTTCCCTGCATAAATTCTTTTATAGTGCTCGCGTGAACCCCGTCTTTAACACCACCTAGATACAATCGTTTTGTGTTGCGCCGTTCCACGCCAATAAACTCCTTTGAGTCAACTAAACTCGCTTCATTTTGATTTTCACTTGTTTTTGAACTTCTAATTACTTGACTTTGTTTTGGACAATCGGTATTATTCGACGGCGGTCCCGGGTCATTTGCGCTCTCGCCTTTGTTACTATCATCATCATTAACTAGAACTGTATTAATTTGTCCTTCGCTTTGTTCACAATCAATAACACTCACAATAGTAACTTGCTCATTGTCCTCATTACTGCCACTCGCTACAGCAGCGAAGGATCGTGGCTGAGTACCATTGTTAACAGCTCCCTTGGGTCCTGGGTGTGCAAGTTCAGTATTGCCAAACTCTACAGAATTATTCAAATTTTTTTTCGTTAATATTTTAATACTTTCCTTTGACTTTCTCTGTTCTGCCATTTTAGAAATATTTTCCATCTCGACGCAGATGCTTTCGCATTTCGAATTTAGAGATTCTTTTGAAGCACGGCAATTAGCTCGTAACGTCGACACCTCCTTTTCTAGCGAGTATATTTTTGAGTCTTTTTCGGCTAAATGTAATTGCATATGATTAAGTTCGTCTTTCAATTTGTCAATATCTGTTTTATGTTGAATATTTGTTTCAACAAATTTTGCTTCTAAATCTTCGACAATTTCGAGTAGTTTCTTGGGATTAGGTTGATCCAAAGCGTTCGTTTCCTTATCTCCGAGAGCGTAACTACAATCCGTATTCCTGACCTTGCGAAATATGTCCTTTAGCGCTTGACTTCCTTCGCCGCTCTCGTAAAATTTCACAAGCAATACAATATCTTGTGCGAGCTTCTCTGACGCCGACGTTCCCCTAGTTCTTGTAATTCTCCTCTGAAGTTCGCCTTTTGGACAGCAACTCCACTTAGAACGGACCAGTTGCAATACTCTATCCCTTAAACCAGCTAAACCATCGGTATCTCGTGCGATTAGCTGTCGTACGACAATCTCGCTCGATGTACTTTGCAGACGCCTTCCCAAATCATCAATAAATCCGGTCAAATTTTCGTCAGAATCACAATTATTATTACAGTCTGTTTGTATTTGAGAGTTTGTATCAACAATTGTTGATAAAGCCTCGGCTAAATTAGCCGATTGAGAGTTTCTTCGCATGGCAGGTGAAGAGCCTTGAATAATAGCTCCTTCCGTCATGACGCCATGTTATATGGCAAAACAGAGTTTAATTAACGGAAATCCAGTGCAGTTCGTCCAACTATTAACGGGCGGACCATTAGAAAAGTGATGGGAGGGCGGGGGGTGGGGGGGGGGGAAGCAAAAATAAAAATCGCGCAGGGGAAAAAGAAAGAAAAAAATTTGTGCACCAAAAATGTTTGAAAAAAATTCGTGCAAGGGATTATATTTAAAAAAATTATCGACACAAGCAAAAAATTTAAAAAAATATTCGTACAAGTTAAATAAGTCCCCCCCCCCCCCATCACTTTTCTAATTATGGTCCGCCCCTAGGGGAGTTTGTGATCAAATTTTCATGATTATATATAAACAAAAATGTGTTAAGTTTCCATCCAGGTTGAGTCGTCTAAATATCGATCTGATCGCAGAGCTTTGCATCAAGTGCATTCTTACAAGAGTAATTATGTAAAAAGGATGATATGCATCTGTTTATTTTTCAAACATTCATGTACTCAAGGCCACGAGCATTTAAGCACTATTCCAATCACTGTGCTCTAGTGAAGAGCAGTTACTCTTTCATGGGTGCCTTAAACAAAACGAAATAGCCCTCGATAACTCCTACATAAAACGGTTACAGAAAACAAGTCTTCTTAAATTCTATAGCACTGGATTTCCAAGGAAATTTCTGATCTCATACTATACTATCTGCTTAAATCAAAATACTAACTCGTAACAATGGATATAAACACTATATATGTACAGGGCCGTATGCAGGATTTTTTCACCAGGGGGCAGTAAGGCCTATATGCCAAATGAAAAGTCCCAAATACCCAAAGAATAATTAATAATGTGGGGGCCGGGGCAGTTGCCTCCCCCCTGCTGTGTACGGCCCTGTATATGTAACTAACTCACTGTATAAAGTTTGTTCGTTCACTGCAACCAGGTATATCAATCATGTTTCGCTCGCTACTCTGGTTTAAATAAATGATTACAAAGCCCAGTCGAATTGTAATCAAGACCCAACGTTTCGACACTCCAGTCTAGTGTCTTCATCAGAGGTGATCTAAAACTGCGATCGTGGTTTCTTAAATACCCAAGGGATGACGTCACCTGCCAAGAAGATGCATATATTCCTCTGGCAAATAGGCGCCGTCATCTCTATTCAAAGCATGATGACTCATATTTATATGCCACGCTTCTAGGCAAAGTCTTTGACCATAGTGATTGTTTGTGGTAATTACTTTAGAGTTTTCCCACGCAATCTCGTGTTTGGTGTAACATACATGTTCGGCTAAAGCTGATTTTCCCTTGCCTAAAGTTGAAACAGCCTTAATTTTGCTGTTCTTTTAGCCGTGTACCAAACTGGCGTTTAGACTGACCCAAATACTCTTTGTCGCAGTCACCGCATGGTATAGAATATATAGCATGAGTCTTCTGATTTTTTTCAACAGGATCTTTTGGCTTTGCGAAAATATGGCCTAAAGTCAAATAGGGTTTTAAGGCAACCTTAATATTATAATTACTTAAGATTCTCTTGATTGGTTCTGTGACACCTTGAATGTATGGAACTATTGCAAAACCCTTAACAGCTAGAGGTACGTATCACCCTCGGAGTTATTTTGGTTCCTACAAACAGGTGGTCTCAGGCAATCATTAAGAAAACGCTTTGGGTAATTGTTTTCCCCTAAAACATTTAGAACATCTTCACGTTCATAATTAGCTTGAGAATCACTGTTTGACGGCAACGATTCAGCTCTTTGAAGCAAAGTTTTTGCTACGGATCTTTTATGGCTTACTGGGTGATGAGAGTCGTATGACAAGTATTTGTCTGTGTGTGTGGGTTTGCGATAAACATCAGTCTCTAACTTCCCTTCGACAGTTCTGTGTACATTCAAATCTAAAAAAGCTAAATGTCCATTTATCTCGTGTTCTACCGTGAATTGGATGGACGGCTCAATAGAATTTAAATGTTGCAGCAGAATATCGATCTCATTTGTAGAAACTGCAGAGATGATATCATCGACGAAACGTTTCCAAAACGATAGGGACACTGGAACAGAGGCTAAAGCTCTTTGTTCGACATCTTCCATTACTAAATTAGCAATTACTGCCGAAACTGGTGACCCCATCGCTGTTCCAAAAACCTGTTGATAATATTAACAGCCCTCAAACACAAAGTATGTGGCGTTGAAAAGACAGAAGATCAATAATATCTTCTACAGGCAAGGATGTTCTTTGTAACAAAGTGGCATCCTGTCTTAGTCTTTTTGCCGCAACCTTGATGGCAAGATCAACTGGGATATTTGTAAACAAGGAAACAACATCAAATGATACCAACACTTGATCTGCTCATAAACGGATTTTCATATTTATTACTGGGGTGGTGCCAGATATTTTAGGGGGGTGAGCCGTGAGCAGGTGACTGAAGCAACACAAAGTGTCACCAAACCCCAGTAAGGTCTATATTCTAGGGGTGGAGCACTAGAGCCGCGAGGGGATCTCGAGAGAGCAGAAAACAAAGTATCCCAGGAAAAATTTGAAAAAATCATGATTTCTAGCTTCGAAAAAAAGTTTTTTGAAGTTGTCAATTTGTCATAAAAATGGATTTGGCATGTCCGATTGTCTGTTAAGACTTGAGAGAGTTAAAGACTTAAAGTTAATGAACCTATAAAAGTGTAAACCCAATAGGTCAATACAATTTATGATGCAACTCCGACGTAAATAATATTTGGGGCGTAAAGATTAAATCTAGGCAAGTCTATTTCCTAAAAGAATTAAAAACTAAAAATAGTGTTCGTAAAAATTCCAAACATTCCTTTCGTGCAAGGCACTGCAAACTCTATTCAGGGGAGATAATAGAGTTTCAAAACTTTACAATTGCTCCAATAAACCAGTGAATGCAAGCGATGAGCGATTAGTTTCAGAGTGTTGCACTGTCTTTTTCTGTTCGAGTGTACTCCTACGTTTTGCATCATCAACACTCTGCACGTTGGAGTGGACTATTTAATTATTTATTATGCCGAATATTGGGGGGGGTGAAAATTTTTTTGGAGGGGTGAACATTTTGTTTGGGGGG